CTATACATGTGGACTCTTTGTTACCTAAACTTTAAGGCGATGAGTTTAAATCACAGCATTATAAAAGTCATAGATTTTGACTATTGATTTGAAATGACATATCACTACTGCAGAAAAATGTAATTAATGTAAATGCTTTAGTATTTTTGCATAAAATTAAATCATTTGATCATCCAGAAGATGATGAAGAACAAGGAAGAAGAAAATTATTTGCAAAATGCAAGCAAATGATGTAAAAGAAGTATTTAGAAAGCAGTTTTTTACACCTACACGATAGCTTTGAAAGCAGTTTGTTTTATTATGGCAAAGCACAGGAGAACTATCTGCCTAAGGGCATAGATACCTTCGTGGAGAATTTTCTTAGGAAAATTGGCTCGTATCCAAGCTGCACATGGTCAAAACTGCGAAACCGCTCGTGAATCCATGCCCATTCACCGAGATTTGAACAAGGAACGAACTACCAGTGTTTAGCAACTGTATCGTTCGATAATCAAAATCTGGAAATATAGGAAAGGTAAGAAATAATTCCCAATTAAACCTTAAGCTCCCTACTTAAATTTCTATCATAATTTTGTATCCCTTTTCCATTGCAGCAGTAGTTATAAAAGTGAAATATGATGTTATACTTATCTCTTATTTATATTAAGAATGAATTAAAATAGAAAGACTTTTTATTTTTTAAGTCAGCAAATTCTGTATAGTATGAAACAATTTCCATTTCCCCATAAATTTTGCATAAAAAGATGTCGGTTACAGATTAAACTTCGGAAAATTTTATTACAGGTAATTTAAGAAAAATAAGTGGCCTTTGGTTTAATACCCGATTTCTTTTAATACGCATTTACTACTTAGTCAGACATTTTCTTTCACAAATATTAATCGCTACCAAATACTATTACATTCATTGCTTTTATGAGGCTAGAAAATGGTCTGACACGCTGACGATTTATTTTCTAACATCCACGAAAATGCCGAATACTTAAAAGTTCTGTGAGGAAAATAAGTACCGTGTATTATTAAATGCAGCAATTAAAAGAATAATATATGCAGTTACATTACTTAAATGCAAACTTTGTTCCAAAACTGATAAAAAAATTTATTCCTCATACACGAAAGTTAACTATGAATAATTAATATCTTGTAACGAAAATACGATAAAAAGAACACAACGAAGAGCTGAATGTTAAAGAAACTAAGGCAACAGGAATCGGCGTAACTTGAGTAAATTTGCTGAAAATTTGCTCACGTTACCTAGCTAATTTACTTATGCGTTGCAGCAAATTATTCATTTGCTTCAAATTTATTCATGTTACTCCGATTCTAGTTGCTTTTTTATTAGTTTGTTTAACAATAAAACTTTTATTTAATAGCAGACACTGAATATGTTTAAAAAAGAACTTTTAGGTCATTTGTTAATGGATTTTAGTCAGAAAATTTAATAAAGATGGAACGATATGTGAAAAGTTTCCTTTGAAATAAACAAACAACAAATACGTTTAAATATTTAATATGCCTAGTACCATAACTCAAAATAATGTGAACTTAAAGCTTTTTCATTTTGTTTTTACTTTCTGTTGTCAAAGTTCAATTAAAATTTTGACATTTTTAATGTTTTGCGTAATTTTTATTTGAAAGCATGCAAATGTTTAGCTGCATCAAATAAGTACGGTGATCTATTTTTGACTGAAGAATTGTTATCACCCATAAAAAGCTTTATGAGCACGAGGCACGAGGCAAAATATTTTGAGAACCACTACCTTAAATACAATAGTTTATCATCTTCTTTCTTCTTCTTTTTTTTTTCCTCACCTTGAACCTCTAAAATCTTCTCACGAATTCAGTGAAGAGAACAATACAGTTTAATGGCATAAACTTAGACTATTCAAAAGGAAAACAAAAAACTGGTAAAGTAAAGACAAGCTCTTGGCGTAATTCTGTGAGCAGTCAACGAAAACACTATGAGAAGGGGAGAGGAGAGATATTTACTTTCATTATTAAAAAAAAAAGAGCTTTTTTTTTTTAGGGCATGGGAACGTTAAAATCGAAACCTGTGGCGCCAGCAAAGTCTTTCATTTATAGTAATAATGGCACAAAGATTTAAAAAGTCAACAGTTAGCTATACTACACATTACAAGAATTAGATGTGTTATGAATTGCGTCGGTTTCTTATATATCAAACAGTATTAAAAAATTAAAATGTAATAAGAAGAATGTATAAATGCTTTCTTTTTTAAGCAATGTTCATTCGAAATTTCAAAAATAAATTAAAGTTTTTAGGCCACATTCGATGGCACCATTCGGAAAAAAAAAAATATATATATATATATATATATAGATATTTCTAACGTCAAAGAAATAAAAGAAATTCAATGAAGACAAGTGTTTTCAGATGAGTATGTTAGTTATAGAAATAGACTAAGAGGAAGCAAACGAAGTGTCACTAAATTATTCAAATAAAAAAAGTCAATGCAAACACAGCTATGCTAGCAGGGTTATAACTTTATAAACGTTGGAATTCACGTGGTACTGGTTACATGCAACACTTCCTTGAACAAAGCTTCAACTGATTGAGTTAAAATTATTTCAAGATAGATTAAGCTTTTCGAGCCATTTAGATACTCGTTACCTTCGATCCCTTGACCAATGAGCCTAAGCCAACCAGTGAAGTGGTAATACAAAGATGAATTAGTGAATTTCTGAACACAGTAGCTAACATTCGTAAGCAACGTTTATGAAAGGCCCTCACAGACAGTCCCTTTAAGTGTTTTAGTGAGGCTGTGAAAGACTTCTAGAAAAATTGATCTTCGAACTGCTTCACTCGAATTGATAATGTTTTGAATCAAAAATCTTCAAAACCATCTTAAACTACCCTTGAAAAACCCCATGAGATTTTCATATTGCACATAAATTCATCTTAAGCAGATTTCAGAATTTCACGTAACTTGGAACCCATGGAAACTGTTGTTTGAATTGAGAATCAAAAAGATCAATGAAAATTTTAAATTCATCTTCCTCCAATATTTTTCAGCAAATTAACACGTTTCTGCATAATTTTAGATTATAAAAATGGAATGAGCGAAAACGAAAACAGAAAAAAAAATAATAATTAACTAAATAATAACAATAAATAGTAATAATAACCGGAAGGCAGCTCTTCCGGTTTTCTAGCATGAGATGAAGCAAGAAAATTTTAATTATGGAAGTCCCTTTAAAATAACAAACTGCAGAGTCGAAGAAACATATTCATAAAAACTTTAAATTAACCAGTTTCTAGAAAGCAAATTTAATAATCATTCGTCTAATAAATAAATAAATAAGTGATTTAAAAGAAGATTTTTTAAAAACGTATTACTTCGTATAAATCTGGAAGTATCAATAATTCACAGGACACATTTTATTAACGCTTACATTCACAGGATCGACACTGCACAGGATCTACTCTGTCTAGGATCAACACTGCGTAGCGATGAAACGGCGTAGTATCAACACTAACTACCGGCATACAGTCAATAAAATTTTTGATAATAATGAATAAATGAGTAAAAGGATTAATTCACTGCTCCTACCTATACAAGCATACGATTAATACCACGTTTTGTCTACATTGTCAATGTAGAAAGGCTTACAGTTAGAAATCAGGAGGGAAGGAACTGGATTCAATTATTGTTTTCAGATACTTTGTTAAGATCGATACCAGCACTGGGTCGAAACCGGTTTTTGAATTGCTCTGTCAATACTTTTCTGTATTTTCCATTATTACCTGATTATTAAAGACAATGACTACAAATTTTGGCTATAAACGATAGCCCTACAGATTAGTAATAAGACAATTTTTTTCAAAAAATTTGCCAAATTTAGTTGAGCGAATTAAGCGATTAGTAAATTAAATAAAAATACTACAAATTTACCTGAAGGTGTTTCTATTAAAAATAATTTGTACACTTTGAAAGAAAACGATAATTTGAATTTAATTTTTTTAAAGTTTTTAAGATTTTACTCAAGAAACAGAACTGACAAAGCACATATAATTAACGCAGATCTAATGAAAAATTTTCAAATTCTAACGAATCAAATAAAATACTAGTCGTGCTAATAGTCTCGTAGTTACCTCATTAATATTTCGCGAATGGGGAAGAATTTATGCCTTTGAACGTAAGAAGAGGTTCTTCCGTTAGTCGCATTGTTATATCCGGTTCACTTGCTGCTACCTTAACAGGAAACACACGGATAGTTTCAAATTGCAATTAAAATAAATTTATGACTGATGCAGCCCAATTAGTTAAAAAAGATATACGACAGAGGGATGTAATGTGCCTGTTTGTTTTGCTTTTTGAGAATATATAATGCCATTCATAAAGACTGACTTTTAAGCAATATGTTTTTGTTTAATTTTTAGGAAAGCTCAAAATGTACAAAATACTCACGAAACGGGGAGGGGAGGTGGATAAACAAATGAAATAAGTAAGCTCCAAAATATTGATTGCAAATCCATTATTTTATTGGTATTATTTTATTGATTGCGAATCCATTATTTAACAGTTCAACTGCTATTAAGGTGAAGTTAAGAAAAACGAAATTTATTCTTAAATATGTATATCTGAAAATTTAAACTCAAAGCAGTAATAGATTGAATTGAAACTGTTAAATGCATTTCAAGAAATTAATATAAATTGGAAACACTTTAGCTCATACTAAGTAAATTTGAAAAATTTACGCATTAAAAATGCGAGGAAAATATTCTAAAATATCGAAGTACGATGTACTTTCATAACGTGACCACTTCATCCCTTCATTAAAATCTCGGCTTGAAATCGCTTCAGTTATAGTTCTATTTTTAGGACTTACACCTTTAAAAATACATCCATTTCAAAATATTTTCAGTCTGTTAACACAACTGCAAGCGTTTTGTAAAAAACTGATAGCAAAGCTAAGCATTTATATGCAATAATTATTGATTATATACCACAGTAAACGGTACAAAAAATACTTTTTTTACTTACCGAATGACGTTCTTGAATCTTAGAAAAATCCGTTAATCCTTTGGAACCTTCTTTATTATTCTGCTGAGATGCACTTTTATCCTCATTTTTATTCTCCGCGCTACCAGCACAATCCACTGATAAGTCATTGACAGGTTTCGTAGGAGAAATATCCTCATCACTAGCAATTGCTACAGTTTCACCATCCGATAACAAAGGATAGTTAGCACTAATTTTTCGCTTTGGTGTTACACACATAGCTAATTCATTCTTGGACGAAACCGAACTCGCGTCGTCTAGTGACTGACTGCTCAAAAACATGGCAGGTCTGTTTTGAGAAGAAACATTATCGGAACTTGTTGAGGATTCTTGATTTTTATTCCTGGTTTCACATAAGTCTTGCAGAAAACTGAGATCGCTATAGGCTGGTTTCTGCTTCTCACCAGATTTCCGCATTTCTTCTTCCAGCATTTCCCCATATGGCCCTCTCAGTCGCCGCTTGGAGTACCGCCTCTGTTCTTGAGGACTTTTGGATGATTGGCTTTGTTCTATAGCTAGGCGATGGCTGCTGCCATCTGAGTCAGGAAACTGGAATCGGCTGTTAGGATGAAACAATGAAGCTTCAGTGAATAAAGTACTTAAACACTCACTCAGAAATAGAACTGCATTGCTCGAAAAAGCACTTTTTTGTGCTAATAAATCATACAGTAATTTACAGAATAATTTGGCAGTTATAAAAAGCTTCGAAGCTAAACAAGATGTTCGCAATTCCTGTCAAACCTCATACGAAACTTACCATAATTCCTAACTAGAAAAATGAGAAAGAGAAAGAAATATTCTTAGAAGCAGCTCCATTCCAATCAAATGCAACAGATTATTTCCTGATTGAATTTCTGCGGATGTTTTCTAATCGAAATTCTGAAAATGATGATTGTATAAATTATCTAATATATTATAAATGAATATGTAATCATGAATGAATGTGTATCATTGCATAACCATTTGCATCTCATCGTTACAAAAGTACCTTTCAGCTTTATTCCAAACTAAATATGTATGACAGTTTGAATATTTCAGTTTTATTTAAAGTAGTGCACGAAACAGTCGGCCAGTATAATTTTGTTTTATTATTAAACGCGAAATTTCAAAAATATGTATCGATTCTTTTCAGGCAATATTATGACTGAAGCCTAAATTGGAACTCCAACATATCCAAAAAAAGTAATTAACAATACTATAATTAATCAAATACAACGAATTAAAACTATATGCACAGATACAATAGATTTACAACGCGAAATTTTGATCCTTATCAAAATTCTCAAAAATAATCTAATTCCCTTTCAATTTATCAACCATTGCCTTAAAAGAGCAGGCGTTAAATACTCACTCTAAATCATTTAACTGATAGGGATATGATAATTTATTCCTAAACCTGAGAAGGCGGTATAAGTTGGATGACTATCAGTTGAAGGATTTGTATATAGTGTAATTACTCAATTGTATATATTGTAAAAAAGCTAATTGTCTTCAGACTTTATGCTGTTATATACTGTTACTAAAAAAATGGGCCTATTTCATGACTTTTAGACTGTCTAATTAGCTCTTGGACAGCGAAAAATGCCTTTTTCCTTTCTTAAATTCTTAATCATTGCGACACGACAATTAGCCAGAAAATTAATTAATTTCCATTCACTAGTATTTTCAAAAAAATCTTAACAGACAGTCTCTCTCAATAAGAACTCCACAAAATACATCCCTCAAGAATTCCAAGTCCCACCCACTACCATAAATTACTTCACCCAAGTCTTACCGACTGATATTATTCAAAGCCCCCTACTGCCGCTAAGAATTTTCGGACCCTACACTTATGAGTCAGACACGAAGAGAACACTTTGCCAACTCCCCACTAGAAAGATGTAAGTTACTTAATACCTTTTCTGGCCTTTATATCTTCATGTACATTCACTGTTCTTATTTATATTATTTTTCTATATTATTTTTTATATTATTTTATATTTCTTTGATTTGTTTTACAAAGTTTGCATTATTTATCTTTTTTATAATCTTCTATGTTTATTTCAACTTTACTTTGAATTCGATTTCATAATGACAATTTCCAATGTTTAATTTTCTACAAATAATATAGAACTCAAATGCATAAACATGATAGTGTCGGGGACGGTTACTCGAGTTTTACAGGATTTCTCTACAGTAATTGATTTTTACTCCAAATTGAATTGACTAAAATGCTTCATGAGAATAAGTTCTTTGAGTAAGCAATCCCTTCTATTCGCGGAAGATTTTGGCCTGACTAGAATTGCCGGTTTGGCTTTAACTTATAACTCGAGTAAAGACGAAACATCTTCCGTATTTACGTATTTTTATCAATTATTGTTCATTGAACGGGAGTTGGTTTGTTCCCCTTGAAAAGTCAACTAATTTCCGATCAATGACAATGATTACATGTTTTTAATTTTTCCTTTTACAATTGAAATTTTATTCTTCATGATGATTTAACTCCAGTCCCCGTTAAAACATTATTAACATTTTGCTTTCAAATTACTTCAAAACATCTTTCAAAATATAACTTACCAGTATGGATTCACACTTTTAAAATAATTCTACTTTAATTAAACTTAGGAGATAATATAATCAATTAATCAATACTGTTTAGGAAATATATATATATATATATATATATATATATATACTCTGTTTTTCTGCGAATATACGAAATCACCCAATTTCCTTTAAAACTGGTCTCTCTATACGCATCTAAGCAAACATATTTTAATATTTCTAAACGTGCTTTTATGACACGAGACTTGAGAATAAAATAAAAACTTCACTTCCAAAGGTAACGTAATGTAATTTCTGAGTCCATTTTCCTTTTCTTATAGTGGCCAAGATACATAAATTCTAAAGCTATCTAAAATAAAAACTTTATAACGAAATCAAAATCTGAAATGATAGATAAAAGGCTTCGACCTTCGGGAAATAAAAGCTTCATATATAAGTCTGATAGTTTTATTTTTTATAGTAGCTCTTAAATCAGCAAAATTTAAGGGAATAGAATGATTACCTGTTTGGTGTAGCTCCTGATGTCAAGGACCCTCCTGATCCCACACGAACATGCCATGTCCCTTGACCACTCCTTGGCACTTGCCCATCGATGACCAGCTTCAGCTGGAGGTGTCTGTCATCTGGGTCTTGGTGTGAAGTTTGGGTAGCCCGAGAAGATGTTTCTGAAGAAGCTGATGAGCATGAAGATGACGGGGGCGTTATGATCTCGTTCCCACCCAAATCAGGTTCGCTGCGAGAAGAACCGATTGCATCGGCAATAAATCCGTCACCAGGACCTGATGAACAAGCTTCCCCTCCAGGATCGCTGTGGTGTTTCTTTTTATGTGGTTTGCCATTTGCACCAGACGATCCATGATCTTCGACTGATAAATGTTTGGAGGCGCTGGGCGAGTGCATCACGCTGTATTGGAACGGGAATGAAAACATGCAATTATGGAATCCAATGATATGAATAATGACATGAATAACGAAAGCTATTAATAAAGATGACAGATCTGTTAAAAATAAATTGAAAGCCACACCACAAAAGAAAACACCTATGAGGATTATTCTTCTTATAATTTCATCTAGCAGCTTGAATTTCCGGTCTTGTTACTAAGTTTTTCAGATCTTAATGGAGTAGGGAAACTATAGGGACAACTTGAGTGTAGGGAAACTTAACTATAATTTAAAAGAGATAAAGAGGCTTTTCGTTCTAGTTTAGAAGATAGACTAAGTATTGGAAAAATATTTCTAGTTGACTGCCATAGCTGAAATTTCACAGCTTAATTTATTCGGAGTAGGAAGTAGCGTCGAGTTCGAGAATCTTACGATTATTTACAATAAATAGAAAATATATAAGTAAACTCCAAAATCCCGATCTCATGAATTAAAAAATGAATATTTTTATTTTTAATAAGAAATATGATTATTCCTCCTTCAGAAACATATTAGAGCTTTTTGGAAAATTTTTGTCAGTTATTAACTTTATTTTCAGAATTTACTTTCATTTGCTGCCTTTGTTATTGTAAGAGAAAATACTGAAACCACATTGTTAAGTAAACTTTCATTTAATTAAAAACAGTCTTAACTTAGGCTAGCATCCATTGATAAAAGATTTTAGACATGTTTTGCGCTATATACTTTCTTACGTTTAAAGGTGGTTTTATGGAGTAATTTCTAAACCGGTAATAATAATAATCGATGCAGCTAGAAGTTTACTTCCTAGCTTAAAAAAAATTAGTCATATTTGCGCATTGGCATCTCATACATATAATACACGAAATCGGAGTATTTGAGGCCTGAGCTTGGCAAAGGATTAACGCGCAGAATTAACTAGCCACATAAATATAGATTTTACAACACAGTTATCGAAGCAAGTATGAGTTCTGGGCAATTTCAACTTGCAGCGGTGACTGGTGTCCGAGTGATTCATACCTTCCACGCTTGATCGGACGCACCCTTCATATGTAAAGTCATTATAAATCAAAAATGAACAGAAAAATAAGCTTGGGGAGAAGATGAAAAACACACACAGAACACACGTAATCCAATGAAATGATACATTTGAATAGCTATTTAATAGCCCTCATCAACAAGGAAGCCCTCGCATATTGATTGCATATTGATGAGAGCTGATAATATTAAAACTCATCAATATGGAATCCCCCCCCCAATTTTCTTTCTCTCTCTCTGTTTTTTTTAAAGTTAAGTATAGCAACGTTAATTATTCATTGTCGGTTATTCATAAAATGCCTTACGGATAACACAACCTGTCGATTAACATATATTTTGCGTATTTGTGCTGCATTCATATAATAAAGAATTTAGAGAAAAAATTGAAAGAAGAAGTCATAAGAAATAAAAAATATATCAAAATTGTACTGTATTAATTAGGTTTTCATTTTTTAAGGTGAATCGTGTGTCTATCAACGGTTGCATGATTATTATTACTAAAAGCAGAAATTATTAACTTACTACTAAAAGAAGAGGATTAAAATGAAACGATAATGCGGGGGCGGAGAGACTAGTTTCTATTTACGAGTATAAATTTAAGGTATTTTCTCTCTCTTTCTAGTATACCTTTGTGGTGTACTACGCACACTCGGCGCGTATTCAAGAGGTCCAGATTTGAGTCCCGGCGACCATGCCTCCTGCTTTAAAAAAAATTTAAAAAAATAAAAAAAACCTAATGATTGTACAAAGTATTCTTATATTGATAACAAAACAATGGAAATACGTTTGCTTTACAACAGTAAAGTAAATGCAGTCTTCCTGATAGTCTAGCCCAGTGGTCTCACTCTGGCTGTCACTGTCCACATCCGGCCTCCGAAACCATGTTACGTGGCCCGCGAATACGTTTCTTTTAATTAGCATTATTATGAGATTAATTATTACTCCAAGAGTAAAGAGAGATTTAAGAATTATGATTTTGAATCCAATTTTACATTTTCAGTGCCGTTAAAAATTAACATGATAAACGCTCCAGAAAATCTACAAATGGAGCTAATTAATTTACGCTATGATATAAATATTATTCAAAGATCTGAAGACACAGACTTTAGCCAAAAGATAAATACCTTCAGTTACGAAATTTTAGCGATACGAATAATCTTTTTATTTCAGAATGCATTTATATGTGAACAGCTTTTTTTTAGCAGTTGAAATATACTAAGTCTAAACAAAAAGAGCTATACTTACTGATGAGCATCTACAATTCGCGATGCAGATAGCTTCTACTTGTTTTACTCGAAAGCTACAAGCTTTATGAAAATCGAAACGCCATGAGATGTAGTAGCTGGAAGTTGAGTAGCGTCTCGCCGCTATGCTTCGCTGGCGTAACTGTCTGGCGTTTGTTGTAAACAACTGGCAATATATCATGAGTCTGACTATGACACTACGGAGGAGGAGACAGAAAATAACAAGCCACATTTTTTTGCAAAATAATTTTTTTTTCCCGTCTTATTGCCAGAGCCCTTTGGTTTTTCAAAAACAAAAATCAGCATAAAGATTTGTAGAGACATTAGGTAATATGGAAACAGGAAAGATGAAAAATGAGCAACCGCCTTCGCCGGAAATCGAAACACGGACCTCTGGAATACGCGCTCAGAGTGCAGACCACCACACCACGAAGGCATGCCAAGGCGGCGGGAGAAATACCTTATAGATTGATTACGTTGAGGACTACCTCTGCAAGCTAAATGAAAAATTCTACCATAATGTCGAAAGAAATAATGCTGCAAGTTTTGCTGAAGTCTTAAATCATGAAATTATTCCAGAAGACTGTTTTCCAAACCCTAATATTTGTTTGCATCATCACCTCTGCTGCACAATTTTTAAATTGTAGGAATACTTCTTTCTTCATTTTATGTGTCTTCAATATTGTCTCACATTTTTCCGCGTAAATTTTAACGCAGTGGATAGCGTTCGGTACAGGTTCAGACCATTGATAGACCATTTTTTTAACATTCAACTTCTATTCTGTATCATTCAACAATAATTATGTTTTTTTCTACATCTGTGTCTATACAATTAACATTTAAAGAGTCAAAGTCTGTGAAGTTCTTGACTCAAAAGACGAGCTTCATTCAGCATACTGATTCAGGTCTCTGAACTTTTCTCCCACGTCCTGTGGATCTAAGGTTTATTCCTGATCATGTACGTAATTGTATTTTAGAAGTACCTTACTTTATTTTCTCAAATTAATACTTTTTTTTACTATTTTGCAACAGTCTTTATGCTCCACACCGTGAGGTGTAGGACAAGTTCTTGTATTATCAACTCTAACTGAAATACAATATACAAAACATGAAACAAATTTAAAAAGAGGAACATTTATGATAACAGTAAATATGGGATGAGGTATCAAACAAAAATACATTAGGCAATAAATATGAAATAAGGTGAAGTTAATAGATTATTTCACGTTACAGAAACCTACAGCATTAATTTAAGGAAATTCAAAATCATGAAAACGATTTAAAAAAACAATAAAATTTGCTTTTGCATCTCTCATAGTTAGGCTTATCTGAATGACAAATCGGTAATTCTTCATCCAAACAGTACTGACTATTTTTCTTTTGACCTGTGAATGCTGTTTAATAATTTATTTTTTGCATATGAAAAAAAAAAATTCTGTTAAATTGCTCGTCGTCAATATAATGCACACATTCCTCAGCAGTCGACTATGCGTAAATTTGGGAACATTTCATCGCCAAGAAACGAAAGTTACCAAGCTGAAAAAATATCTACTGAGCATGCGTAAAGCTCAGTAGACATTTTGCTCTGCTACGGCGAGACCCTACTCTGAAAATTATAGTAAAACATAAAAAAGTTCATAATTATTTACATAAAAATATACGTATTTTTCTATACGCATCAAAGAAAAATGCAATAAATAAAAGAAAAATAATAGGTTGTCATCATTTACCCTCAAATTTTGTCTCACTTGGAAAGATTTCTCCATTTTTTTAACCTTAGTTTAAGTCAAAAGTAAATTATTTATAATGGTTAATTCGACATAGAATTATTTTGAAATAAATGTAAGTCTGAAAATTTAATATTTATCCATCTTAACAAATAAATGATGTACAAAGTTTAACCAACAGAATTTCTCGCAGTTACAAACCTTTAAATTCAAACAGCAAATAAATATAAATTGTAGTTTTTTCATTTGTGCCATTATTATTACAGCTTATATATGTTTTGATAAATATTAAAAAAATAAAATTAAAAAATTTGCTTTATTAAAAAGACCTTTTCATAGGAGGGGGGGAATTCGGCCCGCAAGGAATTTGAGATCACTGGTCTAGCCTGTGCACACCAAAGAATGAATAACCTCAGAATTTTAATGGCGTACAATATCATAGTCATTATGTTAATAAATAATACTATTTACTATTTATGATTTAAATCAGATCTTTGTGACTGTAAGGAACAAGGATACCCCGATTATTTTGCATTTGACTGTACTTATACTAGCCAGTTTCACCTAACAAAGCCTCTAATAGTCTATTGGACGAAATGGGCACAACAACTATTGATAAATCAAATTTCTGTCAATAAATTATTACGAATTATTGGAATTATTGGAATTATTGAGATCCACAATAGCCATTACGCCTTCGCTGCCAATCAATAATTGAAACTTAACTCCTACATTGCTTTTTAGTCCCATTCTACCCTCCAGTATAGCTTAACTTGATTGTAATAATATGAACTGTAACATATATGTTTACATGATATTGTAATAGCAAATGTATGGTATTGGGTATTTAAATTATATATTGTATCTGTGTATTATTATCTGTGTATATGGTTTTTGCACCGTACACAACACTTTCTGCGACATGTATACCACATATAAATGTAAATCATGCATGGCTCGTTATATAATATGTGTGGATAGTGATTGAACATTAA